TTTTTTTAATTAAAATTTATAATCACTGAGAAAAATATATGGGTGATTCTTTGTGTGGTGTACAATTTGGTTGCTGATATTATTAAAAAAAAATTACACAGAAAATTAAAGGGCATTAAAATAAGCTGCAACGCTTATTATTTTAATCCAATTTTGCTTATTTTAATCCATTTTGGTATTAAAATAAGCAAAATTGGATTAAAATAATAAGCGTTGCAGCTTATTTTAATGCCTTTTAATTTTCTGTGTATACCAATATCATACATATCAATACATATATTCTTTAAGAAAAAAGGTCTAAAATAAAATATATTGACGTAATAAAGACATATCTTTAAAACGTTCAAAGAAGGGTAACTGACCCAGTTATTTGCACTTTAAGCTTAATTTCGACTTCATGAATTAAATTAGTATGTAAAAGATATAAGAATCTGTCATTTATGATATATTATATATATATATATATATATGGTATTATATGGTATTATATGGTAAAACGTTCTAATTAAATTGAAATGAAAATGTTTTTACCTAACCTCACTTTTTTCGTACAGGTTAAAAATCACCTACTTACACCAGTTAATGGCACTATAGATAAAAGTTTATTAATTATTTACAAATTAAATATTTACTTATGATAGATAGGATTCAATCCACTCCCTTACTAAAACTTCAAAATTTGTACACAATTTCATTTTTTTAAAATATTTTTATTACCATATTATGTGCAACTGATTTTTTAAAAAATATAAGAGATATGAAATTGTGCGCTATACGAAGAATCACACATATTTTGCTTTGCTAACAAATTATTGATATTTTTATAAAATTTATTTTTGTTTTCTTAGTCTCTTTTCTTGTTTGTAAAAAATTTTAGATCATTATTACATCACTAAATTCCACTTCTCGTAGTGAATAACTTTTTAATCTTTCACTTATGTATATAATACAGATAACAATTTTTCATCGTTATTCCCCTGACAACATCTTTAACAATTATCAGCCAACGATGACTTAACAATTTTGACTTAGTAAATACTTTCGTTATTTTTGATATATTGAAAGAAATGGTATAAGGTATAGTCGATAGAGTCGTTTGATCCCCTATTGTAAATATATTATCCTAGTGGATTTGCAGTAGTCTTAAACAATGTTTCTCGGTAAAATGAAAATATCCACGTACGTTACTGCGCTATTATTTTTTTTGTGTTAGGGTCAGTAGAGAAAAAGCCCCTAAAGTTGAAGGAAGAATGTATACATATATAGTAACCCCTCATGATGAACGTCTTTGCACGTCCCTTCCCTTCCCTCCCTCTCTTTTTCTTATTATCTCCCTTTCTGTTTGTAGTTTTTTTTCACATTTCTTGAAGAAAATAAAAAAAAAACACATTGCATTTTAATATTTTTAGGTTAGAAATAAATTTGTTTATTATAATGAATTTTAAATCGTTTTTCATTTACTTTTCAATGCCAAAACAAGTTTTTAAAAAAAAACTTAACCTCTTTTTTTTTAAGTTACACTATTATCGGAAAATATTTATTCCGTTCATTATTCAAAAGAAAGAGAATTGCGTGTTAAAATATCGGAATATATTATTTGAAAATATTTTGAAATATTTGAAATTATCTTGAAATATCTGAAAGTATCATCATATATGCAGAGCGATAAAATGAAATATCTTGAATTATTTTCAAGTATTGAAAAAGTTATATATGTGCGAATATGAAGTCAGATTTTTGAAAAATTCAAATTGACGAATCAAATATGACAACTTTTTTTTCAAAAAATTGATCCGCTTTGAAACTTATATAAAACTTGGGGATTTTCTTGGTAGTCACTGAATACAAATCTAAAATCAGATTTGTAGTTTTTAAAATTTGATTGCAGAATCGTAATCAAAAACTCGGGAAGTTTTGATAATTTTTCTAAACAGAAAGTAAATTTACCAGTCATACATATTAAAATAGATTTATTGCATTTTATAAATTCTGTTATAGGATTCAAAGAAAAAATTTTATTTAATTTGATAAGCAACGAAAATGAGCCCACGGGTTTTTTTTTTTTTTTTGTATATTTTTCTGATAAATTAAATATTTTTGTGAAAAAAATATATGTAACGTAAACTGTATTTATTTTGTTCATTTAAAGAAAATCACATTTCTAGAGCTAGTGAGCCCTCTGAGTAACAAAGTACATTATTGTATAATTGATTACATTATATATATAACGTTTCATTCGGTGAGGTCATAAAAGAACACCCTACAATAGTAATAATAGTATTAATACTGAGTTTTGACGTGTTTCTAAATTATAGTAACTTTTAATCTAATTACAGATTAATTTAACATAATAAAAAAACATTAATCTTCTATATCTAAATATATAACAAATGTACATATGTTATGTTGAATATTTAATTATTTCAAACTTTTACGGGTTTATGAAGCAAACTTTTTCGTATACAGAAAATATCTGATTGTTGTTTCTAAATATTAAAAATTGAAGTAATCATTTTTAAATATCCAATGCTTCCGTATACATCACGTATCATATTTGACGACTTAAAAAGGAGTCTGTATTATTTAGTCACAAATTTTTTCATAGTAGATTATAATTTCTTTTAAAATTTTTGCAATTTTTTAGGTCAGGAAAGATATATCTAAAAACATCTTTAACGTTTCGAAACCAGTAGCGGTTTCCACATAAGAATATAAATCTATAATTATATAAATGAGTATTAAAAATTATTTGTTTTATAAAAAAATTAATTACTACAAATTCAATCAGAAAACTACATTCCCGTCAAATTCTGACAAATTAATACAAATTTTCGAGTATTATTGTGATTAAATTCAATGGATTAATATAACCTATAAAAAATTGTTTACTATTTGGTCAAAATTTACCAAAAATATAATTTATGTTAACTTATGTTTTTTCAATAATATATGTAATTTGATGATTGTTTTTATATATTTAATGAAATAGTTAAAAATTTCATATAGGTTATATTAATCCATTGGATATAATCACAATAATACTCGAAAATTTGTATTAATTTGCCAAAATTTGACAGTATGTACCCAGATAGCACGGAAACTTGCGGCAAGCTTGTCTGAGCTAGCGAAATGTCCCACACAGGGCAAGCTTGCCGTGAAAGCTTGCTGTAAGCTTTCCAGGAAAGGTTGCTGCAATCTTGCCATGAAAGATTGCTACAAGATTGCTGCAAGCATACTAAGAATGATTGCGGCAAGCTTGCCGTGAAAGATTGCTGTAAGCTTGTTACGTAAGGTTGCAGGAGAATTTCAACAAGCTTCTGGAAAGGTTGTTGCAAGGTTGCTGCAATTTTTAAAAAATACATTTTTAATACTCATTTATATAATTATTATTTATATAATTATTTAAAAATGTTTTTCGATGTATCTCATCTGTTCCAAAAAATTGCCAAAATTTTTAAAGAAATTAATTAATTTATTATTAATTGGGACAAAATATCATATGAAGATTTTGATAATGGTTATACTGTACAACTGGCGATAATGTTAGTTTGCACTACTATTAAAATACAAAATGTTATTTTTTACTAATAATATATTTTCAATTTTAAGAATAAATTACCTTTATTTATTTTCTATAGTACAAAATAATATTTTGAATTTTAATACAGTTGTAATAAAAAACCAATAAAACTAGATAGTTGTTAAAACCAATTTTTTGTTTTCTCAATAGTTTTATTGTTATTACAATTTCGAATTGTTTGTTGTAACAAAAAAAAATTTGTTGCAACAACAAAACACATTTTTTACTTGTATATTAACAAGCCGATTGACATAGTGTAACTTTATATATGTGATTTTGCGTCAAAATAATACCGACACAAAAAAGTAGCATTGTTTAAAAAATAAAACCTTGTCCGTATCTGATAAAATTTTCTTAGATCAAAAAAATATTGAATTAGATACGGACAAGTAGATGGGTGATTTAATTCTAAATTTCTCTTTCCAGTGAATTTGTTATACATATTCTCATACCACTAACAATAATAAATTTTTGCAAACTACTAAAAATAATCCATAGAATCTGATTAAAAAAGACTTAACACATTTCAGAAACAATAACATTCAATTGAATGAATTAGATACAATAATGTTTTTGAAATGGGTCAATGAACTATTATTATGATTTTCGTAATCAATGCATGAAAATTATGTAATTACAGTGAAAGTAAACAATTGTTGAGAAATGGAATTTTAGAAATTTTATTCTGTTTTCTAAAAAACATGTTGTTTATTTCTTTTTTTGAAAATTTTCTCACAAAACGTTATTCAAGCAACAATATTGCGAATCGATAAACACATGGAATGCTGCAAGAAGACAGACAAGCGAGACAGAGAGTGCACTTGAGCCAGCTGCAGTACCATTCAGCACTCGTATCATCAATATTCTTCCTCGGTCTGTCGGCAGCAGCCGAGAGTGATATCGATCCAATAGCCAATTAGGGCTAAAAGGTCCTTCAAGGAAAATTAGTGCTCCTCAAGCCTCTTTTCTCATTCTCTCTATTCTTTTCAAGTTTCTCTCTCTCTCTCTCTCTCTCTCTTATTCTTACATTCTAGTCTCATAAAAAGAGATCCCTTGCAGAAAAAATGTTAGAGGTGTCTTCTTCCTACAAAAAAAAAGGAAATCTTTTCGCTGCAATTATAGAGGTTAGGTCATGAGCAGAAAATTCCTCTTTTCTAAAACAGAATTAATACATATTTTTGTGATGGAATAGTGAAATAAAAAAAAAAAAAAAAAAAAAAAGAAGCAAACGAACTGAAACAAACCATCCCACGCGGTATTGGTCTAGCGTAATCTGACAGTGCATTTAACCACTTTACGAAATAGCCGTATATCTCTCGTAGCGTGACGTAGTATTCGATACCTTGGCAAGTGATGCGCGCGCGCGCGCCCTCTCTCTTTCTCTCTCACTCTCAGTTGGTACGCGTGGAAGTGGGGATATGGAAGTGGAGTTGAAGTCTGGAACGAGAAGTGGGATAAGGGTGAGTTTAGTATCGAGGGAGCACGAACTATTGGGGGTGGTTGTGGAATCACGGAGTGTGTGTCGGTCTATAGTTCGCCAACGAGAGAAAGCAAGAAGGGTGCGCCCACTTCGCGTCAACGTTTACCCTCGCGACAAGAGAAAGAGAGAGAGAGAGATAGATAGAAATTGTACATGTTGTGTGGTGCGGTTTTGCTTACGAATGTTTTTTTTTTCATTTCAATATAATTTCAGCTCTCGATCGGGGTTTAGAGAAGAAAAGATTCATAGGTTCCATTTTGTCGCCGCGAATGTTGTTCATCAGAGTGTCGGTTGAGAAATAGTGTATACCGAGTCTCGCGCAATGAAATGCATTGTGCAATGTATCGAGACTCGTGTTCGCCATAGAGTGTCGGTATAGTGAGCAAGAGATATAATCCTGTGGATATTACAAGATTTCATATACAGGAGATGTTTTTTTTACTATATGTATATAGTGGATGTTAAAATAGTGTTTGTTTGGTGGGATTTTTGTGTTCGGAGTGTGTGATTCGGAATGGAGATCCGGAGATATGTTCATGAATCAACCGGGAGGAACTTAAATATATCCCTTTGCTCTCGTTTATATAATTAGTTTGCGTGCGGGTTAAAATTACCAGTTGAAGGGAAAGAGAACGTGTGTAAGAGCCCTTTGATCGTACGTAACCAACTGGAGTACTTGGTGAAAAAAGGGAGCAAAGAGAGAGAAAGAGAGAGAGATGAGTGCGAGTGCACCGGCCTCAGAAGGGTTTGTCGAGAAAGCTAGGGTGAAAATGTTTTTTGCTCGCTGAAAGAGAAGCTGCGAGAGATAGAGGAACAAACTCTGGAGAGAGAGAGAGAGTGAGAGAGAAAAACAAAGAGACTTGGTAAAAATCGGAGACAAAGGCTTATCAAACGTCATGGATTTACTTCTGGTTTTCGCCATCTCGACCCTTTGCTGTTTTGCTTTTGGGGACAAGTGCGCGAACGAGTGTTCTTGCAAGTGGAAAGGTGGCAAACGGACCGTAGAGTGCACTGATCGTGACCTGACCAGCATACCCGACTCGATCGATCCGGAGACCCAGGTCCTGGACATCAGCGGCAACCTCATCAAGATATTGCCGGAAAATATTTTTGCCAAAGTGTACCTGACAAATTTGCAACGTCTCTATTTACGTGAATGTCGTATCGACCAGATTGACGACAATGCCCTGTCCGGTTTGACGAACTTGGTTGAACTCGACTTGAGTGGCAATCAATTGAAAGCCGTTCCCAGTCAAAGCTTTGCTAAAGCTCCATTTTTAAGGGACGTGGTACTCGCTGGTAATCCTCTTGAACGAATTCCCTCTTTTGCCTTTAAAAAGACACCAAATCTTGTTAAGTTAGATCTCTCTAATACAAAGTTAATTGAACTTCAGGAGAATGCTTTTTTGGGCTTAGAAAATCTCGAGAGTCTTAGGTTGAATAATAATAAACTTTCAACCCTTCAACAGGGGACCTTACATCCCCTTAATAAACTTCGGAGTATCGAACTTCACGAGAACCCCTGGTTTTGTGATTGTCATCTAAGGGAGTTGAAGATGTGCCTCGTCAAGCACAATATACCCACGCTTATTGCCCCTGTTTGTCATGGACCCGAGCAAAATCTCAACAAAATGTTTACCGATCTTGTAGTTGAGGATTTTGCATGTCAACCTGTTTTGTTAATTGCCAGTCGATATGCTGAGGCAACTATTGGAGAAAATGCCAGTATTATTTGCAGGGTATCTGCTGTACCACCGGCAAAAGTAAAATGGTATTGGAATGGAAGATTATTGGCAAATCATTCAGCGTTCAGTAGTTATCAAAAAGTTCTCATTTACGAAGAGGGACAATTTCGAAAAAGAAGCACTTTAGTTCTCACCAACGCCCAAGAATCAGATTCAAGTGAATTTTTTTGCGTGGCTGAAAATCGTGCAGGAAGTGTTGAGGCTAATTTTACATTGCACGTATCATTAAGAACAGCGGGTATGTCAACATTAGGATCGGGTCAAATAGCAGGAATTTCAGCAGCACTTGTCGTTTTGATTCTCTTTATTTTGTTGATAATTCTCGTGTTATTCCTTCGTTTGAGAAGAATGCCACAAAAAGATCACAAGAGTCCAACTCCAGCGGAAATGGCACCAGCTGAAAATGTGGACAATATGCAATCTGCAACATCGACAATTAGTCGAAGAAAACAAGAAGTTGTTGAAACAACATCTTTCACCGAAACAAAGCATCCAGTTTCATTAAATTTGAGTTATGTCCAAAGGCCGCAACCATGTGTCGCTGAAAGTGAATACGTGGTAAAACGATTTGAAAATCATCAGGAAAATCATCAGCCAATAATTCCTGGTCCTTGTTTTTCATCAACGACATCACTGATGCCAATTGATAATCCTGATCTTATAAGGGATACTAGAAGAGGTTCCGGTGATGAACCAACAGTTGTTCCCTACAATGGGGAATATAGTCGCGTCGAGCTTGAGGACAAACTATTGTACGGTGGATGCCTCTGGGAGAGAGACGTCAGGACCACAGTCTCCGTTAATCCTTATACGTCCAAGGAGATGTTGGCCAGTATGGCTTCTGTTGAAGCCTTTCCACCTGGAGCAAAACAAATGCGAGTCTGGCAAAAGGGTGTTCCAGTTCTACCTCCAGTTTCAGCATTGAAACGTGTTCTTGGATCAACACGAAGTTCACCTGACGAAGGATATCAAGAAGGTACTGGTACAGATGTCTAGGTACCACTACTTCATTACTGTGACGCCCGACATCGATACATGGAGCTTCGCAGACGACATCAAGAGGAAACAGACTGTTAATAAATATTAAATAATAATAATAATTGTAGTATCACGTTGGGTGACCGGTAGTGAATACCTCGGCATTGTGCAGTTTTTTTTTTTGGTCTATTCTTTTTTTTGGCTTGAAGACTTAAAATTCAGTGGTGAATTTCTATTTCAAGGATATCAAGAAAAAAAAAATTGGGGTGAGGATACCGACATAATCCATAATAAGATATTCTTGACTTGCGTAATATTATAGTCAAGAAAAATATCTTTAAATATAATACATCTGGATTTTTAGGCTTTAGACACACACATATCCGGATTATAATCTTCGAAGACATCTTAATTATAATCTGTGAAGATATCTTGTATAAATAGAAAAAGGGGGAAAACGAATTGTATTATCAGTGAAGGAATTAGGGATTGTAATATCTGTGAAGGCATTAGGATTGTAATCAGTGTGAAAGCATTTTTGGCTTTTTCTAATCAGTGAAGAAATCTTATTTGAGATTGTTGTCTAAAGAGATGTCGTTGTCGAAAAAGTAGAGGTGATATCAGAAACTAAATCGAGACAATATCGTTGTTCAGTGTTCTCACGCAGCACAATATTGACGGGTAATTTCTGTTGCGGATATATGCTCGTACGTTATCGTAACGACAGATTTCTAAAGTATACAAAGACTGTTTAATGTTCCAAAGATATATAGGTAGAAAAAAAAAAAACAAGTGAATCAATTAAAGGGGACATTATGTGTATGTGTGAATTATACGAATGGATTTTTTCTAGTCAATTCTGTAATTAGTTTGAAGGTTTAAATAACTCGTTTGAATGAATCTTATCAGGATATTCAATCACAAATTGGATGATGTTATTTGAAAGAGGGTGTTTGGCCGAAATAAACCCTTTTTTGGATTTATCAGATTTTCAAGAAGTTTTTTTTTTCTATTAATGTTAGGTAGTGGTAGTTGGGAATATTTGGAAATCTTTATTCGGAGTTTGGTATTTAATTATTTAGTATTCTTTTTTTTTTTTTTGAAGTTGTAAGAAATTAATTTTCTTTTTATCTTTTGTGAATTAATTATTATCAAACGCATTTTTTGTGACATATTTTTTTATCATTCATTTTTTTCGTTTATATTTAAAAAATGAGAAAAGATATGTCAGAATTGGGGTTTTGATAAAGAATTCTCGTTTTTCATATATATGAATAACCCATTAGTACTGAAATGAGAACATCATTTTTGAAAATTCTTCTATAATTTGCCAATGTGGTTTTATTATATACATATCTAATCCTCAAAAGGCTTCAAAAGAGAGGCTTATGGAAAATGGTATCTATTCATTCACGCTTACTTCCTGGGAAATTATTGGAAGTCCCGCGCTACTAAAGCCGGAAGACAATGTGACCTACTCTATTGCAGTGTCAATATTATTGATGTGCAAATTCAAGAACTTTTCTCTATTCCCATATACATATATATATATAAATATATTTATATACTGAACATGGGCTTCCATTTTTCATATATTTATGTACAAGAGTTTCTTCGAATACCAATTTATTGTATTTACTCTTGTCATTTATTTATATAGTGACAAGTTACCAATAATAATAATAATAATATAAAATTGTGTCAAGGCACGCTTAGTGTTTACTTTGGTAAATATTTATTAGTTCATTTTCCATATTTACAAAATTTTATTTATTTAGTAATCAATTTTATCCATTTTATAAATTATTGTGATGGATTGTTTTTTTTTTTCTTATTTTTATTTATATATAATTCTCGATATGCATTAACTTTTTTTGTATAGGTGAAATTATATATTTAATGGAATTTATTATAAGAAAATTAAACAAAGAAATTAATAATCTGATTATTATTAATTAGTAGAAATATTTACCGAAGCACATAATAAGCGATATATAATGACACTTATCTTTTTGTTTTCATTATATATATATATAATAGTATAATATAGTATATCTAATAGAATTATTTTCATAAAAAAAAAAGTTAATTAACGTTTGAAAGGTGTGTTTTTCATTTCTCTTATTAATTTGATCTAAATTGCATTTAATATAATAATATGTAAATAAATTAAATTTTAGTAACTTATATAGATTTTGTTGAAATAAAATGTAATTCAATTTTGGTTTACAAAATGGTTCTTCTCTTTTATCAGATAATTTTATTTCGTACAATTTTTTTTTAAACTAAAGCAGTCTTTTTTTAACTAGGAAAAAAATTTAATTAAAGGGAGTTTTTAAAGAATTTTAGTAATTTTTTTTTTTTACATTTTTTTAAAAAATTAACTTTTTTGTTTTATTTAGATGTCACAAAAACAAATTGAGGAAATTGAGTTTTATAAAAACAAACAAAACAAAAAAATAAAAAAGAAACAAAGAGAAACCGAATATAAATTTCTAAATTTAAAGAACAGGTGAACAACAATTTCATCATGTTTCAAAGGCTTATCCCCTAACGTGAAAGCTTTTAACAAAACATTGTCAACGCATTTTTTTTTTGCTCGAAACAATTTAAGGGTTGATCCTATTAGTTATATGTAACAATTGTTTTGTTTTTTTTTTTGTTATTTACAAACACAAATTGTTGAAAATAATTTTTTTTTTTGAATTCACATAAAGTATTTAGAGTAAAAAAATGTAAAATATAAATAATAAATTAAATTAAAAAATTTTGTAATTAAAATTTTTTTAAATTTAATAATTAAATATATAAATTGTAATAAAGATAAAAAATTTTTATTTATTTTATTCTTTTTGAAATGTGTGAAAATTTTTTATTGATATTTTTATAATGAAGTTTTTATTTTTTTGATGTTTAAAAGTTTTTTTTTCTTTTCGTTAAACAAAAACGATTTTCTGTTAACGCATGAAGGATTTTTTTTACATTATTATGTTTAATAAAGTTTTCATGTTAAAACTTTAACGTTAAATAGACGTGTGAAAGGTCTTGTTATCGATTAATATAGAGGTAAAATATTCTGAAAATATATTATATGCTTTTAACCAAAAAGTGGGACATTTTTATTGTTAGAAATAATTCGAAGTTTTATTTAAAAAAAAAAAAAAAAAAAAAAAATTAATTATTTAATAAATTTTATATTACTTATTAAGAATATAAATTTTTAATTACTAGAATTTAAATATTTTCTATAATATTATATTTGAATTTCAAACAAATTCTAAACCATTTATGATAGAAAAAAAATTAAATTTTTTATTTTCATTCTTTTGTAACATATTTTTTTGTGATTTTTTATATATTTAATATTTACTTTTGTCACGTATATTATTTATATGTTGTAATGGAAAAATGACATTTTGTCATGAGAAATACTCCAGAGGGAATTTTCATGGTTCCATAGTGACATTTATTAATTTACTAACCGTTTTGAAAAAAAAAAAAAAAAAAAAAAAGGAGAACGCATAATTTTCTCGAGCGAATCTCACAAATTGGATTAGAGGTTATTGTACTCCAGCAAAAAAAAAAAAGAAAAAAAAACGAATTTTTTTTTCGTACCACCATAATCGATATTTCCTTACGTATATATATATATATTCTTGGAGAAAAAAATGCCTCTATATATTATTTTCTTCAAACACATATGTCTTTTACCCTGATGAAAAAAATTCTTTATACGTTCCGACATATTATTCTTTAAGAAATCTATCGAAAAAAAATATTCTCAATATTAGAGGATTTTCTCAATTTGATTCATTTGGACGAAAATTTTTTTTTTTTTTTTATAAAGAGAGGATTTTCCTCTCATTGTAATAACTCTTTCTTCTATCATGAAATCTTCTCCAATATAGAGGAATGCTTTGAAACATAAAGACATAATTTCTACCCCAAGGGAAAATTTGAGAATCTCATATTTATTTAATTTATTCTGATTTTAAGTGGAATTTTGAATTCCTTTCAATTTGAGAGTAATTTTTTTACAATCAGAAAAAAGTATATAATATAATTTGTGTTTTAGTGAAGTTTTTTCATTTTCATGGCACTTTCTTTATTGTATATTATATCGAAAAATATTTCCTCTTCATTTGATAGGAGAAATCACTGATTCTCATTGAAATTCTACTGACATTCTGTGAAGATTTTTTACAAAATGATTTACTAGTTTTTATTATTTTATTAAAATAATTTTAAATTCAAATTTTTCCTCTTTAAGTCCTAAACAAAAACTCTCAATCGAAGAGGAAAAGCCGCTCTTTTTGTCATTTTTCTTCTAAAACGAATCTTCTATTTCAAAGAGGAATGATCTTTTTTTGAGAGGATAATGTAAGGGGCTATTAGAAAGGAAATTTTCCTCTTACTATGAGATTATATATACTTTTATTTGATTAAAGTGTTCTGGTAGGAAATTTTTTTTATAGATTTTAGGGTTTAAATATCAGATTTGGGTCAGAATTTCTCAAACAGATCACCTAAAATTCAGAAATTTTTTTTTAGTCTCATTTTTTTTCTCAACGGTTTCTTACACAAAATTGTGTGAAGAGTTCAAAAAAAAAAAATTTAATTTTCTGTAGGACGTCAAGAACACTATTTTTTAATAACTTTTTATAAATAAATAATATAAAAATCTATTAAATATGAAATTTTTTCAAAATAAAAATTATATTTAGAAACTACATTTTAAGACGAGAAAAACCCTTTTTTTTTAATTAGTGAACAGGAACTCGAGAAAAAAATTTTTTAAAATAAGACTGCAAAAAATTTCAATTGTTTATAACTTTAATAAAAAAATTTTTTTTACCTAAAAATTTCAGGGACTTATTTTTACCATGTAAGGAGTCAAAAGAAATGATTTTTGTTTAAAAAAAAAATTTCTGATTTTTAGGTGATCCGTTTGAGAAATTCTGACCCATTTAATACAAATTTAGTGCATTTTTTTTTTAAATATTGATGTGCTATAATTTTTTTTTTAGTAATCTTTTTGATTGACGTAATGTATGCTGATGATGTGCTAAATATATTAATTCAATTTTAAAAACAAATTTTGATAGAAGCAACTGTCAAACTTTTGAAAAGGAGATTTATTTAGGGATTTTACAATTTGAAATAATTTTAGAATTTTGTTTATCCAAATGCAAGTGCTTTTTGAAACGATCAAATCAGAAATTTCAATATATAATTTTGATCTTTGACAGCTGTCAATATGTTGAAATTTGTTGAAAACGTTATTTTTTGAAATTTATGTATTTCACTTTAATTTATACCAAAACAAAAAAGTATTTTTTTAAAACATTGAGATCAAAGAAAATAGCAACATATTATTTTGACGAAACTGTCATTTTGATATTTAATTTCATCTTTCAATGTTTTAAAAAAAAAATACATTTTCAATTTAGTAAATTAATGTAAAATTTCAACAATAAAAAAACTATTGTTTTCATAATTTTGACAGCTGTCATATGTCAAAACTACCTTTTGCTATTTGGTTTAATCTCTCAGTGTTCTAAAATTTTTTTTTTTTTTTTTTTGGTAAATGTAAAAATTTTCAAAAATTCTCATTTTCAAAACTTTAACAGCTTTTCTGACTGAACTGGCTTTTGTTAAAAATTATTTTTGACAGTAAAAACAAAAATATTAATAGAAAATAAAGTTAGCATAAAAAAAATTTAAAAAGTGCACTAAATCTTTGTTAAACTTCATTTAAATTTTAACCCTTTTGTTGAAGAATTTTTATTTAGTCGAAAATTTAATTTCCATTCTTGCAATTTTATTATTCGAAAAAAATTTGACAAAACAAACCAATTTTCTAAATTGTACAACCAATAAAAAATTATTCATAAAATTGTGATTGGTAACTTTTAAAAATCGTGCCGAAATCTTTATGCGTTCTAAAATTTTATAATTTGAAAATGGATATAAAATTTAGCTTCGGATAAATTCGGAATAAAA